CCCAGCAAAATGTTCCACAATTGAAAAGAAGGCATAATCCTTGCCTTGGAACAGTTTGAAGTTTACATTACGAGTGCTGGACAAACGATCATTTATACTGATCACAACCCACTTCATTGTGTTTTTGGAGAAGTTTATGACCAAGCTTAGAACCCGGCAAATATTCTATCGGTGGAGATTGATTTGCAACCTTATCCAATCAAGATAGTCCACATTCGAGACGGTGAGCTTAACCATTCGGCCATCTGAGATACTGATTTTCACTGCTCATATTAACCTTAACAGAAAGAATGTTGCTGTGTAAACACTGAGTGATTATAACGTTACAATAGAGCATCACGTTTCAAAAATACATATTCACACAAACAATGGTCATCAACATTTTACAAGCTCTCCCTGACAGCTTCTCTTTACTTTTTTGTTTTAAATGATCGCGAATCAATAAGTCCCTGGACCGTGTCCATCAGGTTCGCATGTTAACTTCCTGTTCCATGGTTCCATGTATGGTTGCACTACACCAACTACGCGCCCTTAGAAAACAGTGCAAAATCGGACCAAAACAGGGCCGCCTGTTGACTCTCGCGAAGAGGTTTGCCTCCGTTTTTTCTCTGGACATTCAAGATTATGTCCAGAAGATCACTTTTCGTTTCAGTTGCATGGGGGTTAGCCACGAAAAAAAAAAATTATCGCCTTTGAACGAAGATACCCCCAAAATTGCAGTAAAACTAAGTGTTCATTTCTAAATGTAGCTGCCCGCCTCTGTCCAAAATAGGCCCGGAATATTGGGCATTTTGTGAAGGAAATACCCCGAACTGGAAACTGTCAGTCCCATATTCGGGATTTATCGAAATATTTCTATGATCCCTCCTGATTAAGGTCTGTCTTATTGTAAAAATCCCGAAAATCACAAAATCACAAAATATTTATGAGCTCGCGCGCAGAAATGCAACGATTTGATGGAATTCACCCTTTAATATCACCCCGAGGGCCAGTTTCGCAGTAAAAATGTATCGAAATGAAGAAAATCTATCCGAAATATAGAAACCATTCCAACAGTTGAATACGCTTTCTTGTTTTTCTGAAGAAGGATAATACAGTTTGTCTGTTGCCACTGAATGCGGCGGTGTTTTGTGCGCAATGAGAATCTTATTGAGTAAACAAACGGAGAAATCAAACATCTTCTGCAAAACTGCGGGACACAGAGAAGAAAAATTACCAGAAAGAAGACGAGCAGATGGAATTGCTGATTGGATTTTTCTGTTTCCCTGGCGTCCGGGGGAGTTTTTTTTTGAAAAAAAATGGGGGACTTCCAGGCCCTCTTCCAGTTATTATAGGACAGAATAGTCAATAAGCCCCTCCGAGAGGCACGGTGTACATCTTCTGGCCTTTGGCTTTAATCGTTACTGTTTTGACAACTTCCAAAGACAATACTGCTCATTTTCTCCAACCGTAAAGAAAAAAAAGACAAAAAAAAACACACAAACAAACAAACAAACAAACAAACACCCCCCCAACCCCCCAAAAAACCAGGACGCTCCCTTTTGGTCTGTTGCCTTAGGCGCCGCCATCTTGTCTTTACAGGTTGCACTAATACGCGCCCTTAGGGGTGAATTCCGCAATGGTTGTATTTCTGCGCGCGAGCTCATTGATATTTTGTGATCCCACAGGGTTTTTACAATGACACATGCTATATTGGGACTGATAGTTTCCAGTTCGGGGTATTTCTTTCACAAAAAGCCCCAAATTGCGGGCTAATTGGATAGTAGCGGGTGGCTACATTTAGAAATGATGAGCGCTTAGTTTTACTGCTGTTTTGGGGTATCTTTTTCGAAAGGCGAATAAAAAAGATTTTCGTGTCTAACTCACATGAAATTGAAACGAAAGGTGATCTTCTGGCAATAATCTTGCAATTCCAAACGGAGGCCAACCTCTTCACAAAAATCAACAGGCGGCGCTATTTCGGTCCGATTTTGCACTGTTTTCTGAGGGCGCGTATTTGGTGAAGTGCAACCTTAGGGTTGCTCTCATTGATCTCTATATAATGCAGATCAATGGTTAGCAAGATGTTTCCTAAGATTGAGATGTTCCCTAATCATTCCTTAAGCGAGTCATTCTGCTTTTACAGTGATACAGCTTATCTTATCCATCCAGATATGGGGCCATTCATGGGAGCTCATCTGACAGAGGATCAGCAAATGTTCAATAAGAAAATGAGCAATGTTCGTTGATGTGTCGAGGGGGCCTTTGGGAAGGTTGTGTCTTTGTTTCCCTTTGTGGACTTCAAGAAAAACCAGACACTTTTCTCACAATCCGTGGGCAAAACGTACAAAGTTGCCGTTTTGATGACCAACTGCCACATGTCTCTCAGAATTCCAAAATTTCAGATTTCTTTGGTGTCAAGCCACCCACCACTGGAAGAGTATTTGGCATAGTGTTGAACTAATAGATTTCCACAAGCATTTGAGTCAAAGCTTTTAACTCAGTGTTCGAATTCAGAGTGTTATATTGGTGTCCTCTGCAAGGTCCTGGTGTTTATCATCTTATATACACGGAGTAAGCAATAACTATATAGTAAATAATAATAAGATTCAACTTAATCAGTCATCAAACCATTTGGGAAATGTCAGCCAAGTGAAATATATGAATATACTTAAATATGTGAATAAATTTGATATTCTTGTCAAGTCTAAGTGTCTTGGATTTACTTCATAAGTTGTCGTCTCAAGAATTCCAAAATCACCTTTCTTTCCTCGCCTTCCGCTTCCACCTTCTTCTCCCTTTCCTTTTTCTCAAGCTCAAACTTTTCTTTCTCAAAATGCCAGCTGTTCACTCTTCAACTGGATTTCCTGGTCCTTCAATGACATTTCTGTCTCGGACTTTGAATGGTAATTATCTCTCATAAGTCTTTCGTCGTGTTTCCGAGGCTGCCTTCCTGGTTTCCACTCCAATTTGCCTTTGTTGCTCTTTTTTCTTGTTTTCATTTCCTAGTCTCGTCACCTGCTCCATATGAAGGTCTTTAATTTCCTGAAGGAGCTGGTGGTTCTCTACCTCCTCTTCGGTGCCAGATCTGCAAAAACAGAAAAAGAATACAACTCCACCGTCCTCGAATTCAGTAATTATTTCTAAACATCTATTAAAAGTCATGTCCATTTAATTTTGTTACCCAGTCTTGCATAATAAATATTGAATGTATGGCACCTCTTCAGCGCATCCGTGTCTTCTTTCTCATAACAGGCCAGTAGAAGCGATGTTCTTTCCCTGCAACGTCGGCTCGTAAGGCCCCTCAAGTCCTGTTGCAAATGCAATTGCATCCCACTTCTTTCCAGGCTCATGAGAAGCACATGGATCATTTGCTATGACCTCTCTCAGTAATATGATGTCATCATGGGTAGGCCTTTTGTTTTCTTTGGATAACTGAGGCATCATGTTCGTTTATTAGCAAACGAAACGCAAGAGTAACCAAATCCCCCTAAATCTGATGAAACAATTTGAAATCGGTCTGATCCTTAGAAATTACACACATTTCAAAATAAAGTTGTCTCGTTTACACCACTATCACATCATAAATACAGGAAGGATAAAACTAAATTTGAAAATCGATATCTTCCTCTATACTATGTAATATATAGTTACCTACAATAAAACATCATCACTTGTTCTGTGCAGAATGTACTTACAAATATGTTTTCCATACTTTTCTTCGCGTTTCTGCAAACAGCACAACTTGTCTTTGACCTTGCAAACGGCAGACTAGCTACTAGATTTTAGCTACTTGTACGCGCTTGTCCACGACACCGTGACCACGCGGGCTTTAGACGTTGGTGTTCTGGGAAAACGCGTAACTTAACGTCTCTAGTTATTTCGTCCTGTGGGCCTTATACATCGCGCGCGCCGTATTTATTTGAGGACATGTGCCACGCTCTCTTTGGCAAAGGTGAAGAACTGCAATTTTGTCTGATAATAATTATTGTTGTCTAAGATAATTTACAACAAATATGTTATGCATTGTGAGCTCGGTGTAACTTCTTCAGCTAGTTGACAATGTTGGTTAACAAAGTTGAGATTCTAGAGTCCTTCGATTCTCTTGAACCCTTCGAGCAGACTCAGCCCCTAAATTACACCCTTCCGTCATGAGGTGATTGTATCTAGGTCAGTTCCCGGTCATGCCTAAACGTAAACAGCTGTCTTATGGTAGCTAATACAGCCCTGAGGTCCCCTTTAACTACATTTCACTATGCTGCTGCGGAAGTATACGTAATACCAGGTCACAACCCAAACAGCCGACCAGTCAGCATGTCTGTCAACAAGGAGATCCAGTTCCTGGTAGAGACCATATGGGCTCCTTGGGGTGACTGATCTTTCAAGAATTTTAACTTGGCAGCGGTTGGGGTCTAGCAAATGGGAGTTTACAGGCTTGTGGTGTATGCCTGGGGTGAGGGTTACAAAAATCTTTGCCAAGTTGGCCTATTGAAAAAACAGTTATGACTGGTGATATCTGTCGATCTCAATCCCCGCGCCGTTGACACCAGGTTTAAGACCCTCCTCGCATACGCGGAAGTGGGCACGTATAAACTCGGACATCCTGGCAAAAATTGTTGGGATGCGTCAAAAGCCATACCCTCCCTACGTTGCAAAGACCATAACCCATGAGACACAACGAGGGGAGACGGGGAGGGGTCTTGTCAAAGTTTTGAGAATTGGCTTCATTTTAAGCCGTTGTACACTTTTCAACCACACCGAGGGCCATTTCATAATCTTCTAATCGATATACATGTACTATTGTTGCGGTATTATTACTTTCTGGCAGTTTATTAGGGTCGAAAAGAAACGCATTTAAAACCACGTTTAAACTATAAACAAGTAGCTTTTGAAAATACAGTTACTACTAACCCTAACCTAAACACAAACTCCATTCTGAAAATACTAACCCTAACCTTCGCCCTAACCCTAATCAAAACTAACCCCCTGACACTAACCATAACCCAAACCCACACTTCATGTTGAAAATACATTAACACTAACTCTAACCCTCACCCTAACTAACCCTATACTTCGTAACCCAAACTCTAGCCCCAACCCTAACACTATGCAAAACTCTAACCCTAACCCAAACCCAAACTCCATTTTGAAAATACAGTAATAACTAACCCTAACCTAACCCTGGCCATATAACCCTAACCCTAGACATAACCCTAACCCCTACTCCATTTTGAAAATACAGTAGCTACCCCTAACCCTAGCCCCAACCGACCCTAACCCTAACCCCCACCCCTAACTCTAACCCTAACCCTAACCGACCCTAACCCGTAACCAAAACCCTTATCTCCTAACCCTAACCCAAACTCC